GAAGGCATTCAGGCCATAAAGAATATATTTAGAAAATTTCCAGATAAAAAAAGACCAGATAAGGAATTATTACAACTCCTGGCCATTAACCTGAGGAAGAATGATTTTGAATTTGACAATACATTTTCTTTACAAATAAAAGGCACTGCTATGGGCAAGTTTGCACCGGCATATGCCAACATCTTCATGGCCGAATGGGAGACCTCCGCCCTGGCAACCTGCAACAAAAAACCATTACATTATTATAGATATCTGGATGACATCTGGGGGATCTGGCCCCACTCTATGGAAGAATCTGACCAATTTGTACTTACCTTGAATAACCACAACCCATCCATCACACTGAAGTCCACCACCAGCACCACATCGGTCGACTTCTTGGACACCACCACCTATAAAGGAACAAATTTCAAACAGACAAACAAATTGGATATTAAAGTTTTCTTCAAGGAAACAGACACCCATGCTCTGCTCTTTAAAAACAGTCACCACCCAAAACACACATACAGGGGCCTACTGAAATCCCAATTACTTCGGTTCCACCGAATCTGCACTCACAAGAGTGATTTCATGGCGGCTAACAAAGACGCTCTTCAGAGCTCTGGCCACCAGGGGGTATTCATGCTCCTTCCTGCGTAAGGCCCTCAGCACCTTCCTGGAGACAAGGCCATTAGACACGGCAGAGGTTCTCCCCTTTGTGACCACCTATTCCAGGCCAGCGGTCACCCTGTGTAGGAAAATTAAACACAATTTTGACCAAAAAGTCCTTAGGCCAGGACACCTGAATAACCACAGGTTTATAGCGGCCTTTAGAAAAAACAAGAACCTCCAGGATTACCTGGTCTCGGCCAAAATGAAGCCCCTAACGACCTCTGCACCCAGGGGCTACGGCCAATTTTTTAAACATGCCAGGTGGATACGCAGCCACTCTAATAAAACGGTCTATAAGACCATGGCATGTGGTAATCCCCACTCCAAAAACTGCGTTTACCTCATCTCATGTCTCTCTTGTGGCTTGCAGTAAGTTGGGGAGACCAAAAACACGCTTTTACAGCGGTTCACCCAACACAGGTACAATATCCAGAGACGGAGGGAAACCCATACACCTCTGGTCAGCCATTTTCTGGCCCATGGATGGTCGTCTGTCCGGGCCACGATCATCCAGATGGACCCTAGCTGGAACGCCACACAGAGAACCCGAGCCGAGAGGACTTGGATAAGGAAATTCAACTCCAAATAAAGAGCTTTCCTGATCTGGAGCAGGATGGCCCGTGCATGGAGCCTCGACACCGCTGCGCGGTGCCGAGACTCATCCACTTTCTCTACCCTAACCCCTAACCCTAACCCTAACTTATGGTCGCACTTTTCTGAGGTCAATAAAGATGGAAATGGAGAGAGGCTTCGAGGGTGGAGAGTGGATCACCAGAGTAGAACAGAATAAAAACTTGGTTCCTCTGGTCTCCTCGGCATCCCTCCAACTTAATTCCTGTGTTAAAACAAACATTAAAAGGCTACAAAGTGTCATGCATCCTCTTTTGGATTTTAGAGACATTTCTGCTTTTAAAAGGAATTCAATTCAATTTAATTTTATTTGTATAGCGCCAATTCATAACAGAAGTTATCTCAGGACACTTTTCAAATAGAGCAGGTCTAGACCAAACTCTTTAAAACATTAATTACAGAGACCCAACAGTACCACCATGAGCAAGCACTTGACGACAAGGGCAAGGAAAAACTGCCTGTTAAAAGGCAGAAACCTAGGACAGATCCTCCGGCTCTAGGTGGGTGGTCGCCTGTCTCGACCAGTTGGGGTGAGAGAGACAGACAGACAGACAGACAGACAGACAGACAGACAGGTGCACAGCAACAACAGTATTGGCAATGGCAATCTAGCAGGACCATGGCAGGAGGCTCCACCAGGATCGATGAGAACCTGCGAGACGCGAAAGCACAAGAACTCCGGGGAAGAACTGAAGTTAGTAACATGCATTAATGGGACATGAATGAGTGCAGAAAGGGAGAGGAAGAGAGGAGCTCAGTGCACCATGGGAAATCCCCCGATAGTCTAGGCCTATAGCAGCATAACTAAGGGATGGTTCAGGACTCACCTGATCCAGCCCTAACTATAAGCTTTATCAAAGAGGAATGTCTTAAGCCTACTCTTGAATGTGGTGAGGGTGTCTGCCTCCCGAACCACGACTGGAAGCTGGTTCCACAGGAGAGGAGCTTGGTAACTGAGGGCTCTGGCTCCTGTTCTACTTTTAGAGACTATAGGAACCACAAGTAGCCCAGAACGTAGAACGTAGTGTTCTAGTGGGGTAATAGGGTACTATGAGCTCTTTAAGATATGAAGGGGCCTGACCATGAAAAGTTTAACAGGTGAGGAGGACGATTTTAAATTCTATTCTACATTTTACAGGGAGCCAATGCAGAGAAGCTAGTACAGGAGAGATGTGATCTCTTTTTCTAGTTCATGTCAGTACTCGTGCTGCAGTGTTCTGAATTAATTGAAGCTTTTAATGGACTTATTGGGGCAACCTGATAATAAGGAGTTGCAGTAATCCAGCCTTAAAGTAACAAATGCATGGATTAGTTTTTCTGCATCTGTCTGTGATAGTATGTGTCTAATTTTTGTAATATTACGTAAATAAAAGAAGGCAGTCCTAGAGGTCTGCTTTATGTGGGAGTTAAATGACAAATCCTGATCAAAGATAACTCCAAGATTCCTGACAGTGGTGCTAGAGGCCAAGTTAATGCCATCCAGAGTAACTATATCTTTAGACAGTGAGTCTCTAAGGTTTTTGGGGCCAAGAACAAGAATTTAGTTTTTTTCTGAGTTTAACATCAGAAAATTGCAGGTCATCCAGGATTTTATGTCCTTAAGACATGTTTGTAATTTAGATAATTGATTAATTTCATTGGGTTTGATTGATAGATATAACTGCGTATCATCTGCATAACAGTGAAAGTTAATGGAGTGATTCCTAATAATGTTGACTAAAGGGAGCATATATAAAGTAAATAGTATTGGTCCAAGTACAGAACCTTGTGGAACTCCATGACTAACTGTAGTATTTATTGAAGATTCATCGTTAACATGTACAAACTGCGAGCGATCTGATAAATATGACTTAAACAAGCTTAGTGCGGTTCCTTTAATGCCAATTTGATGCTCAAGTCTCTGTAAAAGAATATTATGGTCAATGGTGTCAAATGCAGCACTAAGATCTAATAATACAAGTACAGAGACAAGTCCATTGTCAGAAGCAGTCAGAAGGTCATTATTAACTTTAACCAGAGCTGTCTCTGTGCTATGATGAACTCTAAATCCTGACTGAAAATCGTCAAATAAACTATTGTTACGTGGAAAGTCACACAACTCTTTGGCGACTACTTTCTCCAGAATCTTAGAGAGGAAGGGGAGGTTAGAAATCGGTCTATAGTTAGCCAAAACCCAGAAAGTCTCAAACGTGAAGTTTAGTTGAGATCAGATAATGTACACTGAAGTTATGAGGATGTGTTCAGGGTGGGACTGTTACAGAATATGTGAAGTTTAGTGGAGATTGGACATTGTACACTGAAGTTGAGTACTATCTGTTTATGGTGAATGGTCGAAATTCAACGCAAAGCCACAGGCACACTGTTTGACGGAATGTCGTAAATAGCACAACTTTTAATCATGAATGTCTTTAGATTGCGCAGATTAAATTTGAAGTTGATCCAATAAATTCCCCAGGAGGAGTTCGTTCAAATACAAGGCAAAAAAATCACAGAAAATGAGCACATAATTCAAAATGGTTGACTTTGATGCCACGCCACGGACACACCCTTTAATGTACATGCACAAATAGCACAACTTTTAATGAGCACCATTTTTTGACTGTACTGACCAATTTTGAAGCAGATCCGATAAATTCCCTAGGAGGAGTTCGTCCAAATACAACGCGAAAAGTTTGCCGAAAGTGACCTCCAACAGTCTCTGGCTCGGTCCCTAATAATAATTCCTTGCATTACAATAGGGACCTTGCACTTGTGAGTGCTCGGTCCCTAATAATTCCTGGTAATACAGGAGGGACCTCACAGTGTTTGACACTGGCTCTGTCCTTAATTAGTAACATAATACATTGAATTACAATAATCTAATGCAATCTGAATACTTTTGGATTGTTTCAAAATCAAACATTAAAAATATACAAAATAAAACCCTAATGACCCCCTGACCTTAACACAAACCATAATAGAGAACAGTAGATGTTTTATATTTAAAGGGGTGTCAATAGAGAAGTAGTCTCCAGTGATAGCAACAGTTGGTGAACGTTGTAACGCCGTTGCTTTTGTAATCCCCTCCTTTTCATACAACTTGTGTATTGTTTTTGTGATGGTGCGTCTTGAGGGAGGCTCATAGTGCCGTCATTTGTTGCTCTCCTATCTTCCACAATACTAATCGGCCTGCAGTTTGAAGCTATCCACTTTGCTATGGCATTTGTTAGCTTGTCTTGCTTTTGTTTATCCATACTTCTCCCACACGCTGCATCCAACGTAGTCTGCTGAAGCCTACCCACCCCCCCCCCCCCACCCGTGACCCATGGTTTGTCTGGATGTATATCCAGAGCCAGTGAGCAACAGACTTCCAAAATAATAGTAATAGTAAAAAAACTTAACTTTAACGCAAGATAAAATAATTGTCAGTGTTAATTTATTAATGTGTTAACTTGCCCAGCTTTAGTTTTAAATTTAAGTTGGTGTCAGTGGAATACAGTTGATGTGTTTGTGTTTAAGGTGGTCTCAGTAGATGTGTGTTCTGTGTGGGTTCAGTGGAGGATTGTGGAATTTGTTTCAGATCTATTTTAAGTTTGTGTCCCTGCATTAGAAATCCTGAGAGGATTCGTTAATTCTCTGACCATAAATGGACCTCTTGGACTCACGTAGTGAGAGCTATTTAAACCGTCTCACAGAGGAATCTCTCTGTTTTCTCTCCTCTTCCTTTCTTCATTCTGTCCTCTTTCCTTCACTTTCTATCATCTAAATCTACTCTTTATTTTCTTTCTGTTCTGTTGTAATCTGTCCATCATGGCCCCCAAGAAACCAGAACAAAAGAAGGAAGCAGTGAAAGTTTCACCAGAACCAGAAATTGTTAAGGAACCAAACTTTGATCCACACAACATCAAGGTCTGCCTCTGTCTAACCGTCTGCCTGTCTATCCGTCTGTCAGTCTGTTTTTCTGTCTGTCTCTCTTTCTGTCTCTGTCTAACCATCTGCCTCCCTGTCAGTCTGTCTGTCTGTCTGTCCAACTGTCTGCCTGTCTGTCTGTTTGTCTGCCTCTCTGCCAGTCTGTCTGTTTGTCTGTCTGGCTGTCAGTCTGTCTGTCTGATTTCTCAGAGATGTTAAATAGCTTAAAATGTCTAGAAATATATATATATATAGAAAAACACATCCATGTTTTTACACATTCTCCACAAAAATCATGAAATCAACAAAAGTTAGTTCAGACCAGAATTTTAAAAGGACCTACATTTTATTAAATTCAGTTTAGTTTTTAGTTTTATTACCTTTCAAATAAAGCAGGTCTAGACCATGCTCCTTATAACCCATAGACCCAACAGTTCAGTTTAATTCAATTTTATTTGTGTAGCGCCAATTTAAAACAGAAGTTGTCTCAGGACACCTATCAAATAGAGCAGGTCTAGACCGAACTCCTTATAACATTTACAGAGACTGAACAGTACCATCATGAACAAGACCTTGGCGACGAGGGTAAGGAAAAAAAGGTGGGAAGTTGTCTGCCTCAACCTGTTTTATTTTGGTGGTGTGACCACAGAGGAGTCTGCAGCTGATACTAAAGCTGGATACAGTTCAAACAGAAGCAGAGTTCCTAAGAGAACCAATAAACCAACAGAGTTAGAGTTTAATCTTTCTTAAGTCTTACTAACTACTAAATTCAATTCAATTCAATTCAATTTTATTTGTATAGCGCCAATTCATAACAGAAGTTATCTCAGGACACTTTTCAAATAGAGCAGGTCTAGACCGAACTCTTTAACATTAATTACAGAGACCCAACAGTACCACCATGAGCAAGCACTTGGCGACAAGGGCAAGGAAAAACTGCCTGTTAAAAGGCAGAAACCTAGGACAGATCCTCCGGCTCTAGGTGGGTGGTCGTCTGTCTCGACCAGTTGGGGTGAGAGAGAGAGAGAGAGAGAGAGCGACAGACAGACAGACAGGTGCACAATGTAATGTAATAAATGTAGCCACCATCTATGTTAAATATTCAGAATTGTGTGGTAGAAATGGAACTAAATAACGTATTAAATTGAAGTAGAAGTACCTGAAGGAACTACAGTATACTGAAGTACTCATGCTCAACTCCACATGCGCTGATTACTGATCAAAATGTTACGTATTTTCAGATTGACTTCAGTGCTGATCAGATTGAAGGTAACACACACACACACACACACACCATTAATTGAATCAGAGATACCAACTGTTTACAGACTAATATCACTGTATAAACACTGCTGTGTGTGTAGAGTTTAAAGAGGCCTTCCAGCTGTTTGACAGAACTCCAGAAAACCAGATGACGATCTTGTTCTCTCAGTGTGGAGATGTGATGAGAGCTCTCGGACAAAATCCAACCAACGCTGAAGTCCTCCGAGTGCTGGGACATCCCAAATCTGAGGGTACACACACAAGCACACACACACACACACACACACACACACACACACACACACACACACGTTAGACAGTTTGTTTATATTAGTGTTTCTGAAGTAATCATATCTTCATACTTAATCAATCCAACTTTACTTTTATAGACCCTTTGATACATTTCAAAGAGTAACAAGTGTAGACAGTAATAGAGTGAAATAAAAACTAGATGAAAAAAATAAATGAGAAAAAAAATGACAAGAAAATAGATGAATAGATGAACAGATAATAAAATAGTATTTCATAAAAGCTTTACTTGAAACTAGATACAATAGATTGAAATTACAAGACAAAATAAGAGAAATAAAATCAATACAGTTGATAAGAAATAAAATAGTAATAATAATAATAATAATAATAAGGAAGTAGATGATAAATTAATATAAAGTAATTAATGCCTATTAAGCATTCCTACTTGAAAGCCAGGATGCACAGTTAAGTTTACAGATATATATATAGAAATAGAAGAACATATTTATTATTATTTGTTTATTTAATGTTATTGTTAACAGATGAAACCTTCATTGAGTCTAACAGTCTGCAATGTACTTAAATATTACAATCACACGGTAAATTAGAATTTTCTAATAAAAAGGATATTTATGGTGAAAACTAAGAGCTGATTAGCTTTAATGCTGTTTCCCATCATGCCCTGGGTCTGCCAGTCAGTGTAGATTACCTGTGGTTTCTGGCTCTAAAAACTGCGACTGATCTCATGAGGTTTTGTGTGCTTGCATGATGTCAGAGTGAGTTGGCGTCAAATCGGACACATATCTAATCAGCATGCATTGTGGGGTGATTGCCATGATCGATTCTTGCAGGCCTGGATCATCTCCATCGAGACTGATGAGTTCAGCTTTTAAATAACACGTGACATTGTGTGTCTTCTCTTTTTAACAGACGTGGACAGTAAATTGGTGGACTTTGAGACCTTCCTGCCAATGCTGCAACATGTGGCTCAATCCAAAGACAAAGTAAGATAAATGGTTTCCTTACACAGGTCAGAGGTCAAAGGTAATTTAATGCTAATATTCATTATGTGTGTTAACAGGGGACGCATGAGGACTTTGTGGAAGGCCTCAGAGTTTTTGATAAAGAAGGAAACGGGACGGTGATGGGTGCAGAGCTGAGACATGTTCTGGTCACTCTGGGTATGAGAACCACCATGAGACATTGCCTCCCTGAACAAATGGAGTTAAAAGTTGATTAACCATGAAAGCATGCAGAAGAGTGTAGATGGATTCATACTTACATCATTGGTCAGCACTGACTGGATTTTAGGTGTAGACATTTTGTGAACTGAAGTAGTTCAAAATATTAACTGCTGTCCTGTGTTCATTGCTTTCTTATGCTTTCTTTTATTTACATGAAGATGCATCCTCAGACATTGTGTGTTTGTATGTGTGTTTATTAAAAGGAGAGAGGATGACAGAGGAAGAAGTGGACAAACTGTTGGCAGGACAGGAAGACGCTAATGGCTGTATTAACTATGAAGGTAACAAACAGTCAGTACACAGACAAACAGACCTAAACCAAACTCAACTAAAAAAACTGACATAAACTGTTTATTTTCCAGCTTTTGTCAAGCACATCATGGCTGGTTGAAACAACATGTGAGTGTCAATTTGTTTATTAAGTATCAGTAGAATCAGTTTACTTTGGTACAAAACCAATCTGTCTGTTTCAGATTGGAGTCAAAGAAGTTCCTGGTTTTCCCTGGTCACTACTTTCTTCTCTTTCTTCAATCTAAGATCCTTGCTGTTTTTGTTGACTTGTTAAGAATACAATAAAACGTATTAGCATGTTAAACAGTGTTGTTTGTTTCTTTTCTGTCCAGTGAGTGTAACAGTGTAATTATCTTGTTCCACTGCTTGTGTGTGTTGAGTTTGGCTCCCCTACCTAGGTAGTCAGCTGAGCTGCACTTAGCTATGGTCTTCAGCCAACTGTGGCCTAGTTGTGGTTTCCAGATTTAGCCAGGTTTTCAATTCAATTTACAATTAAATTCAATTCAATTTTATTATTCAATAATTATTATTATTATTTTTATCATTAAACTATCGGGGGATTTCCCATGGTGCACTGAGCACCTCTCTTCCTCTCTCTTTCTGCACTCATTCATGTCCCATTAATGCATGTTACTAACTTCACTTCTTCCCCGGAGTTCTTGTGCTTTCTCGTCTCGCAGGTTCTTATCGATTCTGGTGGAGCCTCCTGCCATGGTCCTGCTAGATTGCCATTGCCAATACTGTTGTTGCTGTGCACCTGTCTGTCTGTCTGTCTGTCTCTCACCCCAACTGGTCGAGGCAGACGACCACCCGCCTAGAGCCGAAGGATCTGTCCTAGGTTTCTGCCTTTTAACAGGCAGTTTTTCCTTGCCCTTGTCTCCAAGGTCTTGCTCATGGTGGTACTGTTGGGTCTCTGTAATTAATGTTTTAAAGAGTTCGGTCTAGACCTGCTCTATTTGAAAAGTGTCCTGAGATAACTTCTGTTATGAATTGGCGCTATACAAATAAAATTAAATTGAATTGAATTCCTTTTAAAAGCAGAAATGTCTCTAAAATCCAAAAGAGGATGCATGACACTTTGTAGCCTTTTAATGTTTGTTTTAACACAGGAATTAAGTTGGAGGGATTGAATTGGCGCTATACAAATAAAATTGAATTGAATTGAATTGAATTGCTACTTAAGTTTATGGGGATATGTGGCTCAATAGAGCTGTGACTCTCTGTCAGCCTGGCTACAGTGCTGAAGAGGAACCTAGGGTTATTCTTATTTTCTTCTATTAGTGCTGAGTAATAGGCTCCTCTGGCATTACAGAGGGCCTGTCTATAAGTTTAAAGATTATCTTGCCAAATTGAGCGATATTCTGATAATTTGGAAGAGCGCCATTTCCTTTCAGATTTCCTAGCTATTTGTTTTAACTGGCGGGTTTGGTGGTTATACCACGGTGTTAGTCTCCTATGTTTTAATAATTTCCTTTTTATATGAGTGATAGAGTCTAATGTTGATCGTAGTGAGCCTGCAGCACTATCGACAAGATTATCAATTTCAGAGGGACTAAAGTCATTATAGGACTCTGTTACAATAGTAATAATAGTAAATGTAGTAATAATAATATTAATAATAATGATAACAATCCATGAGAACCTGTGAGACGAGAAAGCACAAGAATTCCGAGAGAAGAAGAAAGAAGAACACCACACTACATGACTACATTCATCATTAGTTTGCAGTCGGTGCTTCTGAATAAAGTCCAGGAAAATCTGATTCAGATTTTAAATTTTCAGGCTGATTCATTCCATGGATACCGACAGTGATCTATTCTGGTTGGCTGGATGGTTTCAGATGAACTTGTCAAAATATTAACGTATTTTCTTTTAGACAATTAATTCGTATAATTATAAATTTAATTTGAAAAAGGGTGGGATTGGAAGTAATGGACATGTGACTGTGTGTGTGTGTGTGTATGTGTGTGTGTGTGATGACACACTACCTGACCTCTCAGGTTTCACTTGAGACGCAAAGCAAGAGAGAGAGATTCACACAGTCAGACAGAGAGTGAGACAGATAAACAGCCAGACAGACCGACAGACAGACAGACAGACAGACAGACTTTGACATTTATTGGATTCATTTTGGATTAAACAGCAGAACCAGGTAAGACTGTACCATCATACTTTAGTGGGTGTTTTGTGTGTGTGCGTGTGTGTGTGTGTGTGTGTGTGTGTGTGTGTGTGAAGGACTCTGTATCTGTTCATAACGAGTTTCAATTGTAAGATTTCTGGTTTATTTCACTGTGTGTGTCTGTAGTAATCCTGCTTCGGTGCTGTTAAAGGGATACTCTCTCTCTCTCTCTCTCTTTCTCTCTCTCTCACTCTATGACATCATTAAAACTCTATTTTTATTTATTTAATGTTTCAACACAAAATGTTTGTGTTCAGATTCATTTTTTAAAGTTGTAATCTCAATAGTCATGTTTAATCTTTTTTAAATCACAGGTAACCATAGCAACAGTACAGATGCTTTATTAATGGATTCAATTGAACCCGTTGTGTACTGTGAGCTGTGGACAGCCACTGTACTTATTATACTGACTGGAGAAATTCAACCAACTAAACCACAGTAAACATGGGGAGAACATGCAATCAGGAAGGTTCTAACACCAGCTGGGAATTGAACCCAGGACCTTGTTACTGTGAGGAACTGCTGTAAAGGGACGGCAGACAAACTGTAAGCATTCTGACCATTCAAGTGGACTGTAAAAGACTCAGTGTGGAGAACCGGGCAAATTACACAAGTGCCCCACAAATTACACAACGGCCTCCCCCTTGTGTCAAAGTAAATGTCAATGTTTACAACTTCAGTGAGGATGAACCAAACTCTCTGTCATGAACAGAGAAATAAACACGAGAGTGAATTCTGTGAACCAATAAACTGTCGGTAAATAACAGTAACGTTGATGTACAGCTCGCAGTGAATCGTGTCTGTCTGTGTCTTGAGCGTGAAATACAATTAACACTGGATCATAGTGGGAGTACTGGATTATAGTGGCAGCACTGGATTATAGTGGGAGTACTGGATTATAGTGACAGCACTGGATTGCAGTGGGAGTACTGGATTGTAGTGGGAGTACTGGATTATAGTGGCAGCACTGGATTACAGTGTCAGCATTGGATTACAGTGGCAGCACTGGATTATAGTGGCAGCACTGGATTATAGTGGGAGTACTGGATTGTAGTGGGAGCACTGACAGGTGTCTGTCAGTGTTACTGGGAAGTGTCTGTCTGTTTCTGGGATGAGTTCAAGAGGATTGTTTGTGATGTTCAGACTGGAGCAGCCATATTGTGGCTCGGACTGTTAATAGTTTTAAAGAGCGATGAGGTTCAGGTTCAGTTGAATAAAACAGAATGTTGACTCCAGGACACAAGTTGGGGTTAGAGTTTAAGATAAGCCAGCAGACTCAGTATTTATAGGCCGACTGACTGTTCAACAAGCTGATCAGGGATCAGATATTAACAACTGCTGCAGTCTAATTTAGCCCAGTGTGACTGTGGCCAGGCTAACCACTAACTGAGCAGGGTCACACTGAAAGGTTAACAGCCTGCTAGAGGAAATAGCATTTAGCTAGTCAGATTAGCACTGCAATGTTCAGTTCAGGACAGTATCTATGCTATAAGAGGAGTGCAGGTCCTGACTCGGAAAAGTTTTAATATGAATGGATTATCACACATATCTGGTTGCTAAAGATCTCTGCGCTGCAGATGTGTTTACACAGGAGCTAATGGCTAGCTGGCTTAAACATTTTTGCTACTAGCTGCTAACATAATACTCAGATGTTATATCAGTTAGATAGATAGATAGATAGATACTTTATTTATCCTGGGGGAAATTCAAGTTAGGAGCTTTGGAAACTAAAATGGTGACATTTTATAAATTCATTCAATTCAACACACATTTTCAGTACAGTATATATTTCTCTTATATATACTGTAAACACAATATATGTGTCATAAAAATTATATAAAGTATCTGTTTTGTACATTATAAACACAGTATATGTCAGGATTATGTCTACTACCATTACACCTGAATATTAGTTTATTAATGTTTTGTTTTATTTCATCAGATATAAATATCTTTCATGTTAGCTGAAACATTTGCATTTTTCAGGATTCATTCTGACAGATTCAGTATCTGTTAGTATTTAGTAAAGCTTTGAAAGTTTTGAGTAACATTTAGTGAAATCACATTAGTGGCCAAGTCTAGATATGTAACTAACCGTTAGCTTCAATGCTACTGTCACACACTACAATGATCACCAGACCTAATTAAGGCTTTATTTCAGTTGGGTGTTTTTGTCAGCCATGACAAAATGAAAGACTAAACAGTTACCCTCATGGCCTACCCAGAATGCCCTGTGGTCCACAGAAGTCCTTTGAAAGGAGTTAGATTGAATCAGAGCTCTTCTATTCTAGTCCTTGGGTGGATGCCTCTGAGTTGAAGTTGAGCTTGAAAACTGAATTTTAAACTTCACCAATTAAAATAATATGTTTAAAGCAATACAATTTTACACATTTAGAATGTATAAAGAAAAATGTACAAAGTTTATGCTGCCACCCTAAACTTGTAAAATTAGCTTTTTTCTAATTGGGACACGTTTTTTTGTCTCTAATGAATGGATCCTTAGTCCCGAGGCTAACCTAAATTAGACTGCACAGACGCACATAGAAGTGATTGCAGCACATATGGAGGTTTTAAAGTTACAAGTTACTTGGCATCTAAATTGCAATGTGATCCTCAGAAAACACACACACACACACACACAGTCACACACACAGATATGAGTTCAGGTTCATGTGTGGCAGCAGATCTGTAATGTAGCTGGTTTGTGTCCTCAGAGATTTCTGTCTACAGACGACTCTATCAGAGAGTTTCACACAGAATGAACACTAACATGTATTATTATTATTATTATTATTATTATGAATAACATTTTTATATAATAATGGCTTAATTTGTATAGAATTCTTAAACATAAACAGAAAAACAGAAGAACTAATCAGTAAACAGTAATCAGTTAGCAGTATTGAGTTACCAATAATCAATAACCAGTGACGATTAATCAGTAACCAGTAATCAGTCATCAGTAATCAGTAACCAGCTAACTTCATTGATCACATCACTGCAGCATCCTAACCCTCTTTATTAAAGTTTATATGGAGTTCAGTCTAGACCTGCTCTATTTGAAAAGTGTGCTGAGATAACTTCTGTTATGAATTGATGCTATATTTCTTTTCAGTATTTACTGATCATCTGAACCGGAGGAGTTGGTCAGCTGCAGTCTGTCATTCACTTCCTGCAATGCGCACACACACACACACACACACACACACACTCAAACATCGTTTTATTTTAGCGTGGAGAGCTGACAGAGAGAGAGGAAATGCCAGGCGTCTCTGACTGCATCCAACAACATTCTGTGGTCTACAGTTGCACAGACACACACACTCACACACTCTCACACACACACAGCTGTTATCAGTGCTGTTGTTCCAGCAGAGTGTGATGTTGTGTCACACCGATAGAGAAAAGTCCTTCTGCTTTTAATACAGTACCACACAGTGTGGTTGTGTCTGTATGCGTCAAAAAGACAGCTTCATGAGTCACCTGTCTGTCTCTCAAACCTGATCACTTTCATCCATGGTTGACTACAGGTTTAGCTTAGCTTAGCACAAAGGCTGGGAGGAAAAAGTATTAGCTTAGCTTAGGAGAAGCTGGTTCCACAAGAGAGGAGCTTGGTAACTGAAGGCTCTGGCTCCTGTTCTACTTTTAGAGACTATAGGAACCACAAGTAGCCCAGCATTCAGAGAAAGCAGTGTTCTAGTGGGGTAATAGGGTACTATGAGCTCTGTAAGATATGAAGGGGCCTGACCATGAAGAGCTTTATAGGTGAGGAGGAGGATTTTAAATGATATTCTGAATTTTACAGGGAGCCAGTGCAGAGAAGCTAGTAAGGAGAGATGTGATCTCTTTTTCTAGTTAAATGAAAGAAGGCAGTCCTGGAGGTTTGTCTTATATGGGATTTAAATGACAAATCCTGATCAAAGATAACTCCAAGATTCCTGACACTAGTGCTGGAGGACAAGGTAATACCATCTAGAGTAACTATATCTTTCGACAGTGAGTCTCGGAGGTGTTTGGGGCCAAGTACAAAAACTTTAGTTATGTCTAAGTTTAACATCAGAAAATTGCAGCTCATCCAGGTTTTTATGTCCTGAAGACATGCTTGTAATTTAGATAATTGATTAATTTCATTCAGTATAAAAAGCAGTCCTAGAGGTTTGCTTTATATGGGAGTTGCCCACATGGCTCAGGACAGGGAGGTGTGGCCAGGCTGGTCAGCCAACCTTTAGATTTGGGAAATAAAAGACCTTTCATCTACACAAGTTCTTACATGAGGAGATCTCACTTCTCCTTGTTTAAAAGGATTCTTTGGCCCGCTTCTATTATGTCACTTCATAAAGTTTTGTATTTTTTCAGAAAGGAACCATTTAGATTTAGAATATTTGGTTAAATTACAATAATATCTGAAATTTGCAGTTTTCAGAGAGGTATGGATGTGATCAGGATGTTCCTGCAATGAGAAAGTTCCTCTCAGACCATACTGCGTCCTCCAGAGTTTGGACTCCTGAATATGTCCTGAATCAGACAAACATTTTGTCATAATTATGTGTTGAGTAAGCCTGATATCATGTATGTAGAATTCTCATTTTCAAAAATTAAATAGTAATTAAACCAACTAGCTCACTGAGAATCAGTGGATACAGATATGGACATTTGCTCACACTTATCAACAGTTACTATTGTGTACTTTTTAGATTTGCTGTTTGGTTTTTATGTATATTAGATTGACTGACTGACGTTGGTTTGTCTCTGAGAGTCTGTGTGTGGCGCCTGTTATCACAAAGACAAGAGGCTGGATGACATGTTAGTGATGGATACACACACACACACACACACAAACACACACACACACCTTCAGTTTGAAGCAGTGAACGAACCAACAGCAGCTGAACAAAGTAAGACTCGTGTTTTATAACATCATTAATGTTTTTGTGATTTCATTAGTCAGGTTTTCAGATATGTTGTATATGTTG